AGAGAGAGAGAGAGAGAGAGAGAGAGAGAGGGGGTTTTTGCCCTGTGATCTGAAATGAGCGGAGGCTGCTGAATGCTGAAGGAAAAGGTGGGAAAGATCACTCAAGGGGAGAATGAAGCAGAGCCAAAATAAATAAATAAATAAATAAAAGCAAGAGGATTTTGGATGAATTAAAAGGAAGCAGCTCCAGGAACTCACGGAGAGGGGATTTCTACCTGGCTTCATCCCTGCATTCATTCCTTCCCCAGAGGAACGCACAAGTCCCCCGTTGTTAGGGTTCACAGGTCCAACATGATGCTATGAGTCCTGATGGATGGGGACAGACAGTGGCCGGTCTATAAAGAGTCCCTATGGAGCTCAGTTGAGTTGAGACCCAGCTGAATTGAGGCGGGGGGGTGTGGGGGGGAGAGCGCAGGAGAGCCCTGCTCCAGAAGCCAACCTGAGTCAAAAGGAGACAATTGCCCTCTTTGCCAAAGGGTCTGGTCCTGGGAGGTGCTGAGTGCCTGAGACCCCCATAGAAGTTTACAGGATCTGTGAGTGCTCGGCCCCTGGGCAGTACTAAACCATTCACCTGATCACAGCCGTGCAACACAAAACTCTTCAGAAGTGACTCTGGGTGCCCTGCTTGGGAAACCTTAAAGGCTCCTGATTTCCAGACCGTGCTGAGCACCCATCGTCTGAAAATCAAAGCCCTTTAAAGTGTCTCACGTTGCGCACCGAAAAATGGGGGCATCCAGCATCACTAGTCTCTTCTTAGACTCTGTTGGTCTCATCCTACAGAGGGCTCGTTGGGCCACCCTCATTCATGCTGGCGAGCACTCACACAAGCACTCATGGACGTCAGTGAGGCTGCTCGTCTAAAGGTGCACAAGTATGAGTTAGTGTTGTACAATCGAGTCCATTGTGAATGTCCTGCTTTTCGTGCCTCACCATAAATATAATAGTCACACTTTAAGGGTCCATTCAGAAATGGTTTATAAAGGATTAATACATAATTAACAGCTGTTACAAGCATGTACAGAGCAGCCTACAGCATTGATGTTTATAAGCACATCAGTAGAAGGTGTTATAGACGGTTGTAAGCCATGGTTATAAGCAACCTGTCATCCTGTTGGACTCTGAAAAACCATTTATTAAAGCATCTATTAGCCATCTATTAACTATTTATAACTAGAACCCTGATAGAAAGTGTGAGCATAATATAAAATAGTAGAGGATAGCTCCCACTTATGGCCAGATTTGCAAAACTGCTCAGCACGTAATGGAATCTGAGCTTTTTTGAAAATCTGGGCCTGATGGTGCGTTCTGAGCCTGTCTGAAAAATCTGGTAATAATGTCACAAGTAGGTCTACGAAACATACCCTAGCATGCGGATTTACTGTAGAGACGCTATTAATACAGGGAGAGCCAATCTGTGTTTAAGTTACCAGTTTTTATTTTATTTATTATGTGTAGTACTGTGGGAGACCTGGTCACAAACCAGAACCCCATTGCTGCCTTTCCTTTTACAGCAAGAAGTTCTGAGCCAGCCCAGTGCCCATGTCACTGCTCTGTGAATGTGTCTGATGAGCTGAAGTTGGTGCTGTAGATAATCTCTGACCAGCACTCAGATTCCCAGAGAAATTTGGGGCAGATTAAAGTGGTCCATAGACAGGGCCTGATCCTGCTTCACCTGAAGTAAATGGCAAAATGCTCAGTGACCGGAATGGGAGCAGGGTTGCATACTATTTAGCAATAGGTCTTTAAGATCTCAGTTCTGCTATGGTAATAGCTGGGTGAAATCCTGGCCCCACTGAAGTCAGCTGGGGTAAATCACTGGTGTTCCATTGAAGGCAATGGAGCAACTTTACACAGCTGAGGATGGATTTACTTATGTGACATGCACAAGCTAAAGAGCTATATTCTAGCTGAGATTTTTAAAGATGGCTAAGCGATGTGGATTACAGCGGTTTCAAAAATCCAAGTATTTCAATATTTTTGTCCTAATTTTCCTCACAGAAATATTTTGGTTTTCAAGTAACAACAAAAAGATTTTGTCCAGCTTTCGATGACCAGTGTTGGTAATTTTTTCTGCTGTTGGTAAAAAGTTCAGGTTTTGAAAACTCTATTCTGAAAAATTTTGCTGCAATCAAAACAAAAAAACCCCCATTTTTTAAATCAAAAACTGAATATTTTTACAAAAAAGTATGTTTTAAAATGAAAAATTCAGTCATTTTGACCAAACTAAAATGTTTCCACAAACATTTGTATTTTGGTCGAAAAGCTATTTCTTACTCCCTCCCGCCCCCCCCCCCCAAGTTTAAATTTAAAAAAATTCGACCACCCGAATGGCGTGGCCAAATCTCTTAAGGAGCTTTGAAAATCTCAGTCTTAGCTCTTAAAATCAGGGCTTCCTACTCCACTTGCATAGAGATTAAATGAAGCCTTCTCATACCAATAAAATGCATAGTTAAAGACATTGATTGAAGTTTAACTGCTCCGTGATAGCTCTGTATCGTCATAGGGATTGAGGATTATCAGCATTGTAGTCAACCAGCATGTCTGTAGTAATTAGCTGGTATTTACCATACAATAACTCTTCTGTTGGGGAGCATGTGTTTCTGCTAGGGCATTAGCATAAGTCACAAAGCCTGTTTGGGTACAATACACACTTTATTTAGTAGCCTTTCGGAGTGCGCTGAACCACTCCAGGCTGATTCTGCTGTCAGTTATGCTGGTGTAAATCAGGAGTAATGCCATTGAAGTTAATGGAGTTATGCCAGTGTAAATCTGAAAGGCTGAGCTCTAGATTCTGCTCTTACATCATCAGAATCTATAGTAGCTCCTGGCCAGTGGGGAGCAGAATTTGGCCCTTTTCTTTTAGTGTATCTTTGAGGAGGAGAGGGGGGAATTCGGTCAATATACTTTGACACACATGCATGTTGGGAGGGTTACAGCACATAATGGTTGCACGTAGATCCACAAACACATCAGTCTTCTTTGGTTTCCTGCATTGGTAGAAAGATTTGGTTTGTTGTCATGTTTGTTAAAGTTTAGGAAACTTTCAAGGCATTTCAGGCCTGGTTTGGAACAAACTCGGGCCGGTGTATGGCATTGAGTATCAGAGGGGTAGCCGTGTTAGTCTGAATCTGTAAAAAGCAAGAATTAGTACCCACTGTTGCTTTTGTATGGCATTGAGTTGATCCTGTTTGAAACACGCAGCAGCCTCCTGTTGTTTGAACAGGAGACCAATGGTTTCGACCCAAGTTTCATGTTGAGCTTTGTGGTCCTGATGCTGAAAGTCAGGGCATCTGGTCACCCTACTAGTTGCTCCTCACACATACATGGAGCTTCCAGCTCTGAGCCCCCACTGTGGGTTCAACACTTGAGTTCATGTACATGTACCAGAGTGGGATTCTGTCCATCGTTAGCTGAGTCAAAGAGTAGAATGACCTTCCCAAGAGTAACCTACCATTTGCTACTGGTGACTCACTGTGCATTAGGAACCATATTCAGTTCTCAGTTCCGCTCAGCCTGTCTCATGGCTGGCAGTGAAGGGCGGAAGCTGAACCAGGGGTGTTTACTGTTTAGCTGTTTTACCATACTGTGATTTGTAGGGGCTGGCTAAGAAAAAGCCCCCTTCCCCTATATACGAGAGAGAGCCTGTCTCACTCAGGGTAGTGTAGGTTTTGTTTTTAGCCTGGGTTTTGAAGCCTTGATGTTCTTTAGCATTTCTGTCCCTCCCAGCCGGTGGTTCTTGTGAACGATTATATGACATGATTGCTTATGATAGGGGCAGGACTCAGGGACCTGGGGCTCACTTCCGGTTTATGTCTTATGTTCCTAAAAGTTCATGCTTCAGGGTTTCAGCCAGCTGCCTGCAGGGGTCAGGAAGGGATTTCCCCCTCCCAATTCTTTCTGTTTTTTTTTTAATTGTTAATCTCCTTCCTCTGTAGCATCGGGGATGGCCACAGCTGGAGATGGGACAGTAGACAGGGAGGACCAGGGCTCTGAGATGGCACTGAGCATTCTCTCTCCCAGGTGCTTGGCTGGCTGGTTCTTACTCACATGCTCACTGATTGCCAGATGTGAGGTCCGGAAGGAAGATTGGCAGTGACCTCGGGCAGGGGCATTTGCCTTCCTCTTCAGCATGCGGGTGCAGGTCCCTTACCAGGGTTATCTGGGTCTCTCTCACTTAACCACTTCCCTCCGTCAGACACTGGTGCACCTCGATCCCTCCTGTTCTCTGCCTGTGGCACATCACAGTCTAGTCTCCGGCGGGCGGTCATACTTTGGTCGAGTTTCAGTTGTTGGGTTTAGTGTGCAGGTGCTGGGTGGTGCTGGTGGCCTGCAATATACAGGATGTCAAACTAGATAGTCTTGTCGTCTCTTCTGGCCTTAAACTCTTTGACCCTAGGTCATCAGTGGCTCAAACAACGGGCAGTAATACTATTGGTCCTTCGCTCTCTGAGACTCTGATATAACATCTGCTTTGGGATCCTGGAGGCACCTGGGAGGCTCTGGGTTGCACTGGGGTTCCGGGGACAGCTGGGAGGTTCTATGTTGCAGTAGGATCCAGGGAGCAGCTGGGAGGCTCTGGTTGCACTGGGGTTCTAGAACCTAGAGCCAGCAGTGGTTTGCCCTTCACTTCTGGCATGAGCGTTGGCACCCCTCAGCAACAGTGGTGGTGCCAGCGCATCAGCAGGCCCCTCTAATTCAGGTTTGGCTAACGTGGATCCGGAGTGTTGGCCATAGACTTTGAGTGCTACAGCTGACTTGCCATTCGCTGATTTCCAGCCCCTCTTTTCTAGTATTTGTCACTATTGAGGATGAGCCTGGCTCCCAGCAAGGGTCCTGAGGCATGTAGAGAAATGTGTGAGACATGCAGCAACAGGCTTTGTGTGCTGATGGCACAGTGAGGTTGTGGAAGTAGCGTTCTCTGTGACACATGCCTGCAGTTTGCATGGGCATGATCTTCCAGGAAGACCCTTGAATACACATTACTCTCGGGTCTTTGCTGTCAGGGCCCCCGGCAATACAGCAGGGACAGGACAACCCAATCCTTTATTCTATGATCACAGTCATGATAACTTCATAGGGCCGTGGAGGACTCATTCTTTGGGAAGATTTCAGATTCTTTCCCACGGTCCGTATTTTGCTCTTGTTCTGTTGTTACTAACGACAATGAGAATCCGGGGGGGGGGGGGGAGAGAGAGAAAAGGGGGACACCTTTACTACTTCATCTGTTCTACTTTCTCCCCAGCTCCGCTAACAAGTCCTGGGTTTGAAGAATCACATTCACAAGGTGGCCAAATGCCAGGACGATGGAATAGATAGAGATTTAGATTGGAAGCTCTTTAGGGCAGGGATTGTCTTTTTGTTCAATGTTGGTACAGCACCTAGCACAATGGGGTCCTGCTCCAGGACTGGGGTTCCTATGTGCTACAATAATACAAGTAAATAAATAAATAAATAATAGAGTTATAGTGGACATATGGATGATGGTTATATATGGAAGATAGAAGGTTATATTAGATAAGCAGATATTTATATCTGATAGAAAGTAATATTACATATAACATATGGAGAGACTGCCGAACCAGTAGAGAGAGGGTTATAGTGGATGGATGGATGGATATATTTCTATAGACACAGAGAGAGAGAGAATCGTCTTCCCTTTAGCAATCAATTTTGCTGTCCCAGAGGACTAGGACTTTGTGGGTAATAGGAGCCTATGACTTGTAACAATCCCAAGTAACAAAGAAATAAGAGAAACAGGATGGGTCTCTGAGTTTCCAGGAGACGTGGGTGGGTCTTGGTTAGGTAGGTATGTTACTAGAGAAAGGCACCAGATTATCCCTTTTTAGAAGGTAGCCATCTGTGTATCCCCAGAAAAGGAGCAGGATGGGGAGCAGCAGTGCAAATTTTTACATATACACACAGCCTCTCATCCCTTGATCCACCCACCCACCCTCTCACCCCTTGATCCAGCACCTCTACTAGTCTGAGGAGAGCTGGTCTCCAAGCCCCATTCAGTCCTCTGTTGAGCCTGCCAGCTAGTTGCATCTGTGGTGGCAGGTGTTATGGGCACTGGACTGAGACTCATCTCACCTAGGCCAGCTAACGGCCATCAGGCAGCAATGGCTTTGGTCACTGTCTATTTGGAATGGAGATGAAAAGCTCCATATCCCATCTCTGCCCCCCAGGATGTCCTGGAATCTAAAATGTATACACAAGTTTGCATGGAATGCAATGAAACTGCATGAGGACTCCGGCGTGGGATGCCTCTAATTTCAAGCTAGGTTCCATCATGTATGTGACCTCCTCTCCAGAGTACCAAGCTCCATCCCCTGTCCTCTAGGTCTCCTGACCAGGACGTCCCTTTGTTGGTTCCTGACTATATCCCAGCCACCTCCTTGGCATGCTCCTCAGGGTCTCAGACCCCATCCCACCACCCTGCATGAGCTCTCCTGCCCAGGATGGCCCACTGATGGCTCCCGACTCCATATCCTCGCCATGTCTGTGGGGCTGTCCCAAACAAATTGATTTTATTTTTCCCTTTGTAAACAAAGGGGGAGAATCAACCGTCTCCTAATTTTAACCAGTACGTGAGGGACCAGGGCGCCATGACAGACCAGCTGAGCCGAAGGCAGATCAGGGAGTACCAGCTCTACAGCCGGACCAGTGGCAAGCATGTCCAGGTGAACGGCAAAAGGATCACCGCCACGGCAGAGGATGGCAACAAATTCGGTAAGGAGCTAGAGATGCCCCCATCCCGCCAGATCATATGGCCAGATCTCAGCCATCTGTGATGGAAAGAGACCAGCTGGTGGGGAATGCACTTTAATTCTGAGCGATTACCATGTGGCTATATCAGCCACATCTGGAAATGGTTGTCGGCCCTGCAGAGATTTCACATCTGGAACCTGGTCAGAGAGGCCAGTGCCAACACAGGGATGAGTCACACTGCTTGGGTTAGATTGTGAACTCCTTGGGGCACGGACCGCCTCTTTGTTCTATGCCTGTGCGGCATGTAGGACACCGGGGCTTTGATCCATATCTGGGGCTCCTAGGTGCTATCACAATAGGGGACTATACACCTGCTGGGTTCTATTACCAGCTCAGGGAAGGGAATGGGATTTAGTGTTTAAGAGCAGGGTTGGGCTGGGCATTAGGACTGTTCCCAGTTCAGGAAGGGAATGAGACCTAGTGTCTAAAACAGGGATGCCCGGAGTCGTGACTCCCAGGTTTTAGTCCCACCATTGCCTGTGAATCACTGTGCCACATCCCTGCTCCATGCCTCAGTTTCTCTGTCTGTAAAGCAGGGATAATGGTACTGCCCCCATCCCTGGGAGCGCTTTGAGACACTTGACTGAGACAGATAACTAGCATCCCTGGTACGGGGTAAGAAGGGTCACAAGGGTTGCTTTCATATATATCCCCAAGGAAGAGACAGAGACCAGGAGACTTTCCAGTTTCATAGCCACAGCTTCACTGACAATGCAACCAGCTGAAGACTGGTATGTATTAGAAACCGAAAGACGACTTCCTGGCAATTGAGAATATCAAGGGACCTATGGCTAGCATTTTAAAAGGTATTCTGGTCTAATATTCAAAACAGGCTTGCTAAAGCCACTCCAGTCCATCCCTAGCATGTTTGGGACTGAATTGCTGGGTGAAATCTTGACCCCATTGTAGTCAAGTGTCCCTTTGACTTGAGGATTTCATCTTTCATGTGAGAATCCAGCAAAATGTATGGATTGTTGTTTACATTTCCCTTTGTGGAAATCTCTCTCGTAAAGGCAAAGTCCTGACTATCATCAGAGACTATGATGCTTCAAACGTACAATGGCTTGTTATGGTAACAATCCAGCACTACTTTAGGGAGAATAGTCCCAGATTCTCCTAGGGTGAAGTTACATGCAACTCTTGTTCAATTTATATTCTGATCAGTTTATTTGGGGGTTAAACCTAAATCTGATCTGAAAGTCATGGCTCTGAGATCTTGTTTGGACTTCAGTTATGCACATGCTGGCAACTGGAAGATTAATACATTGTCTTCAACTACCAGCTTAAATCAAAGAGAAAAGCTTTAACTGGATTTAAAAATACACTTAGGTCCTGCTCCCTTCCACTTCAGTGGGAGCAGGAATCAGACCACATTGATAGTCTGTTAGAATACAAAATAGGATGGTTACAGTTTGTTCTGAACATCAAATGAAGATTTAAAGATTCAGGGTAACAAAAAGTACCTAGCAGGTCCATTTGTTTTGGGGTTTTTTTAATTATTTTAAGGATTGACAGAGATATTAATGGTTTTCAAAGGATGTTTTTTCAAAAGCCAGCAGATAAAAAGAACACTCCAAAGCATAATGATTAAAACTTATTCCAGAAGGGGGAATTCTTCTGTTTATTGAGGAATTGTTCAAGATCAGTTAAACATGACAATAAGGCTTGATCAAAAAGCTGGTGGCAGGACAGCTGTAGCCAAATCAAGGAGAGGTGCTAAAAACAATTGTTCCATTTGATTGAAACGGTCTCATTATAAACAAAAAGGTGAATGTTTTCCCCCTGGAGAGCAGCGGATAAGAGAATTTGCAATGAAACCTTGGTGTGAGCTTCCGATGGATCTTATGCACCATGTGCCAATTTCTGCACTTGCTTAGGAATCAGTCCAACTCCTGTTAAAGTCAGTGGCCCATTAGCTCCTCTAGGAGCTGGATTGTGGTCTTTATACCTGGAGCCAACACCACTTAAGTCAAGGGAGTTTCATCCATGTAACTGAGAGCAGGATTCGGTCCATACTCCCCATCATCCAAGCAAAACTATGGCTCCCCTAATTCACTTGATTGAGCAGCTGTAACAGGCAGGCTAGCGCTAGGAGGCAGGCATAATGTTTTGCTGCATTAGAATTAGATTCTGTTACTCATCCAAGTGTGGATAGAGGCTTTTCCTTAGAGGTTGTAACCAGAGACGGGCTAACGGCGCAAAAATTTAGATTAGGATTTTGACCCCTCTTAAGGGCAGGGGCGTTCAGAGGGGGGGATTTTGGCTAGGGGCCCCATCAGTAATTGGAACAAATAGAGAATTGGTCATAGGGACATAGGACGGGAAGGGACCTCATGGGTCATCCCATGCCATTCCATTGTATAATCCTATTCATAAATGTATCAAGCTCCAACCCAGTTAGGTTCCTGACCCTGACTACTCCTGTTGGGAGGCTGGTCCAGAACCTCACTCCTCTGATTAGAAACCTGCTAATTTCCAGCCTGAATTTATTCGTGGCCAGTTGATCCCCATGGTTGTTCTGCCCATGTGGATTTTACATGGGAAGGGGGATGAAAGCCAAGATCCCTGAATACAAAACTGGTGGGTCCCAGAACCTAAGAGATCTAGTTGTTTTATCACTTAACTGGGCCATGTTCACTGTCCTGCACATCTCTAACGGTACAGTGCCCATCACTGTAACCCATACCTGGAGGGAAAGGCACCTGCAAAGGCAAGCAGCACAACTGAGTTTTTATGGCCAGGGACAATAGTCTGGGGTTTTCTTAGGCTGAAATTCACCCCTCTGCAGAGGGCCTAACCCAGAAACTATGCACCGTTTGAGTCCCACTTAAGACCCTTTTTGAGGGTCTAAGTGCAGTGTGCCCACCCCTCAAGCATTTGTAAATAATTCCCACCCCCAAAGGGTTCAAAAATTAAAAAGCATCCAAATTTTGGAGGGTGGTGCTTCTAAGGCCCTCCAAAAATAATGAGATTGGCTTAAAAATCATGTTGTTGTGTTGTTGTTTTTTTAAATTTCTGAGGCTTTAGGATGCACACAGGTCATGTTTTCAAGCTTTTCCCTATAGCCAGGAGGGCTAGAACTTTTTTTTTTTTTTTTTTAAATTGAAAAGCTGAGAGTCTCATCTTGCGAGTTAATCCTTATACAGCACCTGGCACAAAGGGTTCCGCTCCATGACTGGAGCTCCTAAGCACTACAGTAATACTACTACTAAGTGGTACATAGGCTTATTCTGGCCCTCTGTACAGGGCTGAATTTCAACATTATGTTTTGCAGAAGCTGAAGCTCTCCTGCAGTAAATTATACTTGCTCACAGGCTATTTTGCTACTGAAATCTGCTATTCCCCATTGCTCTGGCATTAGGCTTTAGAAATTGTCATGTGTTAAAGAATCCCAAAGATGCCCCTGAATTTCCTTAATAAAAATACTTAATTTCTATTTAAAAAAAGAAAGGCTGTTCTAAGCAGCCTGGAAGTGAAAATAGCTCAACTCACCAGCTCCAGGTACTACGGCCTTGCATGTTCCAGATCTTTCTCCAGATTAATTAAACAAACACAGATGCAGGCTATTGTTAATTAAACACAGGTGCAGGCTAGATCCTTGGTTGCAAGATATAGGTATTTTTGTCTGTTCACAGAGGGTTCTAGGCCATAGGAACACATCAGACCCCAGGTGTTCTAATTAAAGAATGTGGAATGGACTCGCAGACAATTAACCCTTGACTGACCGGTCAAGAGACTAACACAGCAAAACACATACAGTGTGCAATGGTAATAATACTGTGCATAATCCCATGCTTTGTGCAACTTTAACCTTTTCTTTACTGTGTGTTTTGATGATATTGAATACTGGCAGTGGCCATTTTTCATCACATGCCCATGTGAAGGGTTTGTTCATTGTTACCTGGGACAAAGGCAGAATTGCTTAATTGTAATATTATAATTACTATTACTTCCGTCCTTGCCCCTAACAGCTTACACTATAACACACAACGGGTGGGAAGGGAAATAGAGAAAGAAGTTACTTGCCCAAAGACATACACTTGGGCCAGGAGTTGACCCTGGATCCCCAACTCCTAAGCCAATACCTTAGCCACTAGACTGTGCTGCTTCTTGTAAATAGGTGCCTCCTTTATTTCCTGATTTGATCAAAGCAGCAGCCCTGGCTGCAGACTTGGCTTTCACCCTGTCCTCATAGATCAGTGATTCTCAAACTTTTGTACTGGGACCCATTTCACACAGCAATCCTCTGTGTGCGAACCCCCCCTTATAAATTAAAAACACTTTTTTACATATTTAACCCCATTATAAGTGCTGGAGGCAAAGCAGGTTTTGGGATGGAGGTTGACAGCTCGCGACCCCCCCATAACCTTGTGACCCCCTGAGGGGTCCCGACCCCCAGTTTGAGAACCCCTGTCATAGATCCTTGAGGTAAGTGGGCAAGTTATCTGTGCTGGGTATGTGCTTCCATTTGCTTCTCAGATGAAAGGGGTGGTGGATTGCTGGAGACGTAAGGACAGAACTGCAAACCAAAGGCTTAGACACTCCAGCCATCCCCTCTGGCAGCTTTCCTGCTGGGTTACTCTCTAATTCCTATTTCTGTATCACGGCCCCGTTAGCTGGGGAGTGGAAAGCACCATGTGCTGTGACCATTCAATGAGATTTGTCCCCACAGCCCCCCTCTGAGGCTGGGCACTGCTGTTATACCCCTGGTACAATGGGGACCTGAGGCACACAGCAAGTGAGGGTGTGCCTACACTTCGACACTAATCTCCAGCTCAAGGAGACCTACGTGCCCTAGCCACATGCCTGTTGTTTGAGAGGTGTGCAAACGCAGAGCTGTTAGCCCCTCCACTGCAGCAGCTAAACTTTATTGTTAGCATGCACGCTCAGGTCCATCTCCTTCAGCTGGGAATCCTACTGCAGCTCCAAGTGTAGATGTGCCCTGTGTATCTTGCCCAACGTCACCTGGGGAGTTTGTGGTAGGGCAAAGAAGTACTAGCCAGGTGCCCTAACCACTGGGTTATCTGTCCTCTAGAGCCGAGATCATGTAACTGCTGGTAGCGCAGTCTGTATGTGCCGTTTGGTGGCATTTGTTTTTAACGCACTCCCTATGCTCCTCTGGATCTCTGCATGGGCCTGAGCGCACACACTGACCCCCGGCACACAGACTGGCCATCACTCACTCTAGCATTGGTGGAAGGAGTTTTGTTTTGTTTTGTTTTGTTTTCTCCTTCTCTCTCTTTCTCTCATCCTTGCAGCAAAGCTGATCGTGGAGACAGACACCTTTGGGAGCCGTGTGCGCATCAAAGGAGCCGAGAGCGAGAAATACATCTGCATGAGCAAGAGGGGGAAGCTCATTGGAAAAGTGAGTCACAGCCAGGGGCACCCCCACGCCCCATCCCACCCCCGGTCAGGAACATGGCCTTCAAACTTTATAAAGTGTTGGGACGCTGCCAGGGGAAGTGGTGGTGTCTCCATTTCTTGATGTCTTCAGATCAAGATTGGATGCCTTTCTGGATGAGATGCTTTAGCCAAACACAAGTGACTGAGCCCAGTACCTGGGTAATGGGGTGAAATAAATGTGATCTACAAGGGGTCAGACTAGATAATCTAAGGGTCTCTTCTGGCCTCCAATGCCTGAATCTATAACATCTCTCTTCTTTATTGGGATCCATCTCCGAGAAGACAGAACCTGGCAAGCCCCCGCTGCTGTTTTGTAGGAGCTGTATAAAAACAATGGGCTGGAACTTCAGCAGGTGTCAGTCAGAATAGCTCCATTAAAGTCAATGCAGCTAAGCTGGCTCACTCCAGCTGTGGAGCCGGTTCACTCCAGCTGTGCTCTTGCAGGCGCCCTGCAGGCTGTGCCAAGGAAGTGCACTAACAGGCAAGTCATGCTTGGTCCTGCAGGTCTCATCAGTGCTGCAGGAAATCAGCCCTTCCCTGCACACACAGTAGCGCCTCTGCACTGATCCGTAGATGCACGCTGCTCCATTGCTGCCCCATCTGGATGCTTCCTCAGACACTTTTCTTTCCACTTTGGAACAGGTGATTGGAAACTTTAGGCATCAGAGGCCCAGGCACTACCAAGGGTCATTCTCATTCTGCTGGAGACCTGGCTGGCATGGACAGGGCCCTGCTGTGGGGAAGTTCATGCTGCTGGAGTCCTGGTTAGCTCAGATAAGCATTACAGTGAGATAGAAAGACCATAGGGTGCTCTCCCACTGCATCATATTGTCTCCTCGTTAATTGGAAGCTCCTTAAATGAAGGCCCTGGGATTCCATAGCGAGCTACAGGAGGGAGCTTTATTGATGTTCGTGCTATTTCCAGAGAGCCCTGAGTAAATTCTCAAAGCCCCACATCAGCAGGATGGATACTCTGGGTCTGGTTGTTCTTTGATTGTTCCATCATGCTGAAGAGAAAACAGAAGCTCTGCCCTGGGATGATATGTGGAGTGGGAGATCTACCTCAAGTAGCTGTCTGAGCAAAACTGCAAGTCAAAGGGGGACTGAATGACTGATGGACTGAAAAGGGAGCAGAGGATTGGACACCTCAGAGACATCAGTTCCAGTCCAGCTCTGGCTGGCAGGGGTTATAAGCCATCCCTGGTTGGTGGCCTGGGTGCCCTGAATGAATTGTTCTACATGTCTACTGAAGGTGGGACAAGAAGCAATGGGCTTAATCTGCAGCAGGGGAGATGTAGGTTAGATATTAGGAAAAACTTTCTAACGTAAGGGTAGTTAAGCTCTGGAACAGGTTACCAAGGGAGGTTGTGGAATCCCTGTCATTGGAGGCTTTTAACAGCAGGTCAGAGGAATGGTCTAGGTTTGCTTGGTCCTGCCTCAGATAGGGGGCTGGACTGGATGACCTCTCAAGTCCCTTCCAGCCCAATGATTCTATGAATCTGGTGAGTCTTGGTCCAGTTCCCACTGGATCCCAGAAAGCACCCCTCCCCCCTTCCACCCCCACCCCCCCCCCCCGATTAGCATTATACAGCCCCCTTGTTGGGAGCCCCAGAACAGCAGCCAAGGACTGAATGGGACAGAGAGACTGGACTCCCCTCTTACCCCTGAGCAGTGGGGTTCCCTGCCTGGCAGGGGCCTGGGAAGCCTGCCCGGCTTCCATGAGGTCTGGCAACCCGGCACCTTCTATTGGCACTAGATCCTCCCAGGCCTTGATTCTGCTCCCACGAAGTCCAATGGCAAAACCAGTGGCCCAGGATCAGACCCAGCCTAACAACACTTAACCCTTTCCCTGCTGGATTAACCCACTCTCTCTCCCTTCCTTCCATCCAGCCCAATGGCAAGAGCAAAGACTGCATCTTCACTGAGATCGTTCTGGAGAACAACTACACAGCCTTCCAGAATGCCCGCCATGAGGGCTGGTACATGGCCTTCACGCGCAAGGGCCGCCCTCGGAAAGCCACCAAGAGCCGCCAGAACCAGCGGGAGGCACACTTCATCAAGCGCCTCTACCGCGGCCAGCTGCCCTTCCCCAACAACGCCGAGCGGCAGAAGCAGTTTGAGTTTGTGGGGTCCTCCTCCCCGACGCGCCGGACGAAGCGCACCCGCACCCCGCGGCCCCGCACGTAGGGCCCTGTGTTTTGGATAGTGCCACTCACCCCTGCTGTGCGGAGGGCCGGGCCATCTGCCCGCCCCACACACAGACCCAGGCTGCTGCCCCATGCTGTATGTAGGGCCGGGCCATCTGCCTCCCGCACACAGATCCACTCTGCTCCCCCATTCCATACCTAGGTCTGTGTGTCACTTGCATGCCCGGTGCCCACCACTACGCCATGCTGCACGTTGCTGTGCGTCCTGCCCTCCAAACACACCCATACCCACGCACACCCATTGCCGCAGCTGTACATAGGACTGTGCCCCCCAGCACCCTGCCACTCCCCATATTTTTTTTTACAAAGATGCTCTATTTTTATACTTTGATTCTCTTAGGCACAAAGAAATATTGACTCAAGGAGCAAGGATCAGGTTTGGGGGGTTATTTTTTGTATATAGATGTAACCCCAGGCAGGATTTCCCTTTGTTCTAGAGCACCCCTGTAACGACCCCCAAGATTCAAACACCCATTGCTTTGCCTGCCCTTCTGTACAGCGACCCCTGCTGGGAGGGAAGCAGACAGCAACTGGTTTTGGAGACTTCTCCTTCTGACCCCGTTCTCAGCATCAAAGGTGCTAACTCCACCCTGACAGCCAAGTTCCTGTGGGACCAATCCTGGCAGCTGGTTGGGATTTTTTATTCCGCTACACGGGCTAAACTCAAAACTTCTGACTGGTGCGATCTTTTAGACTGTGGGACAGTCTCCCCATGTGGACGCAGTGGAACAAGACTGTCAACTGGACTGTAGGGAAGAATCCTGCCTTGGGATAGGGATGAACTAGCAGGACTTTTTTCTCCAGTGTGCATGGATGTATCTAGCGAACAGACAGCTGATATGCAGGAGACTGTCTGCAAGGGTCCCAGGGCCAACAAATCTAAGTGACTTGGAAGCCTGTAGAGCAGCAGAAGGGTTCAGATCATTCTGCCTTCCCAGAGGGGAGGTAGATGTCTGTCTATGGTACTTAGCTGGCCCCATTACTGTAGCCCCTCACAATCTGTAATATATTTATCCTCGCAACACTCCTGGAAATCAAGACAGTGCTATTATCCCCTTTGTACAGAGGGGGAACGGAGACACAGAGAGACTAAGGCCTGGTCTATAAGTAAAATTTAGATCGACCCATCTACGTCACTCAGGGGGATGAAAATATTTGCACCCCTGAGCACTGTAGTTAAGCCAATCTAGCCCCCAGTGTAGATGTGGCTAAGTCGGTGGAAGAATTCTCCATCATCCTAGGAGGTAGATTATCTCGATGGAGGGGGAAAAAAGCACCCAGTAACTGCTGTATAGGCATGCTCACAATGACTTGCCTAAGGTCACACAGGAAAGTTGGAGAAAGACCAGGGAATTGAGCCTAGGTCTTTAGAGTACTGACTTAGCACTCTAACCACTGGGCCATCTTTCCCCTCCTGGTTGGTTATTAGCCAGAGGGAAGAGGGTTCTGGGACTGAGCGGTGGGCATTCCAGCATGGAAAAGGTTGAGCACCACAGTTGCAGAGGCAAGATCCCAGCACTTGTTTTCAGCTTGTCACAAGCCTCTTTATTTTATTTATTTTATTGTAGGGTTTTGACTTCCCTTCTTCCCTCAGTCAGGGGCTTTCCTTTTGCTTCGAGAGACCAAATTCCCAACCACACACCTACTTTGGAAGAGAAATAAAATGAGGACACCCCGTTTGACTAGCCAGAGAGCAACCTGGCCTAGTGTCTATGATTCCCTACCAGGTAAAGAGAAACCACTTTTAGGGTTTTTTTTAATACATTCCAATATTTCCTTAAAGAGTCGACTGTTGTCGCTTTAGGCCTAAACATTTAGACTTTGGGGGTTTTTTTTGTTTTTTTTAAACCTGAAATGAATAAAAATTAATGTCTTGGGTGTTTTTTTTATTTCAAGCACAGCATGTTTGGGGGGCTTGTCTGTATGTTTCTTTTGAGATGTAAGTGTTGTTCTGCTGTACTGGATACCCAAATGCAGCAGCAGCAGCAGAGGGCCGGTCTAGCTGCACTTCCCAAGTTGAGCAAAGTACAAAGAGTTAAATAAACTGCACATGTGGCAAAAAGCAAATGATTTTCCCTCCCCAGTGATTTCAGGCAGAGTGATCTTTGGCTCTATTTCTAAAGGGCTGTCTACACAACAGAAGCTGTACACAGGCTAGCCTATCTAAGCTAGCTTTAATCTAGTTAGTATTGGTAACAATATGAAGTCAGCAGAGCGGGCTGGCAAGTCAAGTATGTACCTAACATCTATGCCAGGCTCGCCTCATACTATCAGAGCTGATGCCCACACTGTGCTGTCTTCACTGCTACTGTTACCCACACTAACTGGATTCAAGCTGGCTCAGTAGGCTGGCCCCTGCATCGCTTTTGCTGCGTAGACAGGCCCTAACACAGGCACAGATGTTTGAATTTGTTTAATACCTTAGAATTGTTATCTTGATGGGTATTCCAGTGCCACCCCCAGAGTCCATTGTGCTGGAGGCTGCACAGAGAGATAGTAGGAGACAATCCTTGTGCCAAAGAGCTTAGGGTACCATTTTCAAAAGTGCCTGAGTGACTTGGGAGCCTCAGTCCCATTTTCAAAAGTAACTTAGGCCTTTAGGAGCCTGTGTTGTTTGAAAATTAATGGGACTGAACATAAGAACGGCTGAACTGGGTTAGACCAATGGTCCAACTAGCCCAGTATCCTGTCTTCTGACAGCAGCCAATGGCAAGGGCTTCAGAGGGAATGAACAGAACAGGCAATTATCGAATGATCCGTCCCCTGTTGTCCACTCCCAGCTTCTGGCAGTCAGAGGCTAGGGACACCCCAAGCATGGGGTTGCATCCCTGGCCATCTTGGCTAATAGCCATTGACACTGCTAAATCACTTAGGTGCTTTTGAAAATTTTACCACTACAACCCAAATGGCCAAATCATAAGAAGGGCAGGGTTGGGTGGGGGAGAAACTGAGGCACAGAAAAGTGAAGAGTCTTGTCCAAGGTCACCCTGCACGTCAGCGGCAGAGCTGGCAATAGAAGCCAGATCTCTCTATTCCCACATCTGGCACTATAGCCACTAGCCCACACAGCCTCTTGAGAAGCTAGAACCTGGTTAACTCTATTAGTTAATCAACGAATCCTATCAGTTTTCCAACACCCCTTCCCCCGGTCACTCTCACCCCATTTCTCAGCACGGTTCCGAGCAGAATACCGTGGTGAGGTCTTATACTACCAGAGAGGAACAGTGGCTTTGTGATTCGAACTGTTGAGAGGCCTGGCTTCTATTCCTGGCTCTCTCCTGGTCTTGCTCCGTGACCTTGGGTGAGCATTTACAGGAGAGGTCATTGATTTGAAGTGCCAAGGGGTGGGGGAAATCTTCCATAGTATGGAGTCCTTAAATCAAGACCAGGGCTCTGATTCTGCTGTCTCTTACACCGGAGCAACTCCGCTGACTTCAGGGGGTTGCTCCTGTCTTATGCCTGTCTAAGGGAGCACAGAGTCAGGCCGTAGAGGGCTCTTTCTAAGATGCACTAGCTTCTCTGCACTGACTGAGTGGAATTTTCTGGCTCATCTTGATGCAGGGACCAGACTGGATGGATCACAGCAGTCCCTTAAAGGGCCTTAAAATCCATAATCTTGAGTCACCGTTGCCTGGTTTCCAGAGGTGCTGAGCACCTGCAACTCCCATTGGAGTGAACAAAGCCCCCTGGTTTAGCTGTGATCAGACACTAGTCCCAGCCTGGCAGAAGAGCATTACACTCTAGCAAGCTGCGCTTGTCAGAAAGAACCACGGAGATTTTTCTACTGTTGCATCCTTGGTTATTTTTATCAGGTTTTCCCCTGATGGACCTAGCATGACTAAGTGGCTGATCACTGAAGTCCCTGGAAAGGCCTTCAAATGGTTTCAACAGGCTCTGGATCAGGCCCCAATAGCAAAGCACTTATAGCGCATGTCTCAAGTTAAGCGTATGCTAAAGTGCCATTGAAGTCGACGAGACTTCAGCCTGTGCTGCAAGTGAAACTTGTGCTTTGTTGTGCATGGACAGTAAAGCCCCAGCTCCCAGACTCATGTGATCACACCATGTTGGGGGGTTTAAGTAAATATCTAACTTTTGTAGCTGTGGATAAAAGCACAAAAATGTAAACCCCCTAAAGGCTCAAAATAAACCTGAGCAAATTAAAAAACAAACAATTATTAAAAAAAAGTCTCATGATTTTTAAGCCAATCCTGTGATTTTTTTTATTTTATTTTTTGAGGTGGGAGAGAGCTGGCTCATAATGTTTGAACCGGAGCCTCAGCAAGATTCTATGCGATGGTGTCTCTTTAAGGCAAGAAAACGGGAAAAGCCCCTTCCTGGCACTGAGCTGTAGCTGGGTCAGGCTGAATACCTGGCTACTCTTTAGACACAGAGGGATTTCTGTGAGATCAAAGGGCCGCAGGGGCTGATTGAAAGCAGGGGCCTTGGAGAAGGAGCAGAGAGGAGGGGAGCTGGGGCCAGAAGAGGACCAGCCAGCCCGCCCAAAGGTGATAATGCCTCTTCTTGTTCCTTGGCTGGAAACTGGCTCCAGCCCCTGGGAATGAGGCGAGAGGGGCCATGTCTGGGGAGACAGCACCTGAAAGGGAAACATTAGACTCCAATCAATCAGTGGCAAATTAGGAGCAAAGCAAGGTGGCTTCCGTGCACACACAAAAGGGAGCTTTGCTCTGCCTCCTGTCCATCCGTTCCTCCCTACCCCACATCGAAGCATGAAGGGCCTGGTGTGCGCCATCAGGGTGACGCTGCCAGGCCTTAATCCCAAATGGTGGATGCCATTAGAGGGGATTTGCATGCCATGTGTGTCTGTGCATGGTCAGGGCACTGGAGACCGGCAATTTGAAATGAGACTCACAGGGAGGGGGCATCATTCAATCAGACGGGGGGGTTAATTTGTTCTTGGGAAAGAGGCTTCGACGCCATGCTCTGGGGGCTGATGCAGCACTCCTATCTCCAGCTTCCCCTGCAGAGATACCGTCCACTTTCCCCCACCTTGCTGCCCGGGATTGCCAGATGCACGCTGCTCTCTTCCCTGCTGTGACCCAGGGAGGGTGGAATGCAAGCCCAGCTGGGGTTGTTGGAAGCAAACCTATTTCCAGAAGCCAAATAGCAGCGTCCCCTCCGAGATTCTAACAGCAAAGGAGAGAGAATGTATTCAAAGGGGTGGATTGTACTTACTTTGCAGACAAGGACTGTCTTTTTGTTCTGTGTCTGTACAGCGCCGACCACAATGGGGCCCTGATCCTCGATTGGAGTTCCTAGGGACTACAGTAATAATAATGATTATAATGAATACTCTTTATTTTAAATGTCAATTTCCTGTTAAATTAACCAAAGAAAGCAGCACAAGCAGAGCCCACTTCTAGCAAACTTGGAAGTCTCCTACTTTCAGATGGGAGCTGGGTGGTCCGAGCACAGCTCTAGATTACCAAGACCAGGTCTGCTGTTGGGAAGCACTGGTGAAATGGCAGTTCCCACCAACCGGCATTGGCTATGCTAGGGAAATGAGGCCACATGTCACCACTGCTGCAGCCCTTGCAATGGTGGAAGCTGTAGTGAAAAAGCTTCTGTGGGTTTTACCACCTGGCGATCTAGCCCTTCTGTGAATAGCAAAATTATCTTCTGGGATTCTGGCTTCTTCTGGTTTCTGGCGTCATAAAGTCATAGAGTTTAGGGCCAGAAGGGATCATTAGCTCAACTCTGACCTCCTGTATATCACAGGTCATTAAACTTCACCCCGTTACCCTTGTATTCAGCCTATGTCCCCAGCGCTCCGCGCCAAGGAAATTATATCCTAGCATTTCATGGTGGCTTTCCTACTGTTCTGTTAATGTTGCCAGCTCTAGAGCTTTTCTTAAAGCCCCAATTCCAGGAGTCATGTGATTACATGAGAACCTCAGCTTTCATTTTCAAAAATAGCATGTCTCTAGCACTCCCAGTTGGGGAGAAAACATAGAAAAGGAGATCCCTGCGGGTTCTGGTGCCAGAAGGCTAGTGAACAGATCCTATCATATATTGGTATTTTAAATCTCATGATTTCTAAACCAATCTAATGAATTTTGGGGGCCCTGATTCATGGTTTCTGAATGCTTGGAGTTGGCAATACAGCAGAGCAGAGTCCACCTGACAGGCTGAGTTGGTGCGGTGACATGGCCATGAAGAAAGGTGTAGGGCTTTGGGCCAGGATCTGCTCTTAGAGACACCAACATGAATCCAGAGCAGCTCCTTTGACTTAGTGAGGTTACTCCAGCATAACTGAGCTCAGAGACATCTGATTCTCCTAACATAACATGCTTGCTACTGCCAGCCAGGACCAATTGTTTTCCATGTCTACTGAAAGTAGGACAAGAAGTTATCAGCTTAATCTGCAGCCAGGGAGATTTAGGTTAGATATTAGGAATAGGAACAACTTTCTAACCGTAACGGGAGTTAAACTCTGGAACAGGCTGCTCAGGGAGATGGTGGAATCCCCGTCACTGGAGGTTTTCAAGAACAGGTTGGACAAACACCTGTCAGCGATGGTCTAGGTTTACTTGGTCCTGCCTCAGCACGAGTAGATGGACGGGGTGACCTCTTGGGGTCCCTTCCCGCCCTAAATTTCTATGAGTTCAGGACTGCTTTCAATGCTGCTAAATCCCCAGGATTCCCTTTGAAGTCAATGGCAGCCATCAGACCCTTAAGGGACCTGGTCCTTGAGGTGGCTTGCAGTGAGTTCCATGGACACCCCAAATCCACCGCTGCAGCCACATTGCCTCTTCCACCACCACCCGACCCGCGCCGTCCGACCGCTCCCTGTAATTGCTTTTCCTTCTCACAATGACGGGGCGGACGGGGATGAAGAATCTTAATCCTTTAACTGGGTCTAAAAAGAGCCGTTTACAAAGCTACACAAATATAATGCGGCAGGGATGCCGCTGAGGTAGGGTGCGGGGGTGGGAGAGAGGGTGGAAAAAGGGAAAATTATAACAGTTTGAGTTAAATGAAGCTTTAAAGCAGGAGGGAAATGCAACACCCAGTAATTACTGGCTAACAATAAGGCCAGGAGCC